TAGAACATTTTGTTCTCAACATTCAAACTCAATATAATATCACTATAAAAGTCATTCGTTTTGATAATGGAAATGAGTTTATTAACAAACAATGTACCAATACTTTCAGTATTTTGGCATAAATCATCAACGCTCATATCATTATAGCCCTAACAAAATGATCAAGTTGAAATCAAATATAGACACCTGCTTCAAATTACAAGTCCTTCAATTCCAAGCTAATTTGTCGAACCTATTTTGGGGGAACCCTCACTTATGGCCACACATAATTTTAATATATTTTCCTCTGCTATTTTGAAACGGTTCGCACTATTTGAGAAACTTCATAGTTGTATTTCTACTCTCTCCCACATTCACATATTTGGATGCTTATGTTATTGTATTAATATCAGTGTGTGTAGATCCAAACTTGATCTTATGTCTACAAAATGTATCTTCTTGGGGTATTAATTTGGTCAAAAAGAATTTAGGTTGTGTTAGGCTAACGTATTTTTGAATTTTTCTACTGTGTTGTTATTGTACAATTTTTCCTTTCAAAAGTCCCTACCCGATCCCTACTCTCCTATTTTCATCAGTCTAATCATCATGCCGTAGAATTTGTCGAGCTAAGAATTGTTCATATTGTCATGCTAATGACATCTTCACATCATTAGAACAAGTGGATTTTGGAGGCCTTCATCTACAAACCTTCTTCCTTCCATGTGTAAATATTTCATTTATCAATAAGTTTTCAATTATTTTTTAATAAAATAAATTTTTTCAAATAAAAATTATCTATCATATCAACATTTACAGATACATCATAAACAAATACTCCCTCCGTCCACTAAATAAGTATACATTTACTTTTGGCGCGGAGATTAAGGAATAATAGTATTTTAATTATAGTGGGTAGATAAAAATAGTGAAATGACATTTTTGCCCTTACTTTTTTGGTCTAAAAGTAATGATGTGATGTAAAGTAGGGGTATTTGTGGAAAAAATGAGGTATTTAATGAAATGGTTACTTTGTAATTGGGCGTCCCAAAATAGAAACATGTATACTTTCTAGCTGGACGGAGGGAGTACAATTTAATAATCAAATCAAATATTTATTTCTACCAATTTAAAACTATTTTTCAAATATATTTAAATACCATTTAATTAAACTATCACATCAATATATCATTTCTTTTAATAAAATAATAATTTCTTCAAACATAATTATTACAAAATTTAAATCTCCAACCAAACATAACTTAAAATTTCATACTTCAAAATTCTCAAAAATTCAACTTCAAAATCCAAACTCTCAAACAAATATACCATCAAGTTGCTTAATCTTGGTAAATATGAGTGCTTCATTCTAGGTATATTTATTTTTATAAAGACATATTTCCATATTCAAGTTACTCTCCCTTTAAATTTTTCCAACTAGTTTTTTGTCATATTTATATTTCTATTGCTTCAATTTTAACACTATTTCTATAGCCACATTATCCAATCATATGTTCTACTCATCTTCCGCATGTGAGTCAAGTTTACCTTCACTTGTTACTTCTCTCCTTCAACTGCTATGCCCCTTTATTGATACTATATCTCTAATGATGCTCCTAATGCTTGCCTTCCAATGAGGATCTTTCTAGACCTCCACAATTTTATCACAAACTTTCTTAACATAAAAATTATATCTTTTATCCTTCGTCGATACATATATAGCATCATGCATGCAATACTTTTAAACAATAATAAGTTTTTTTTTGTCAGCTATGAAAGATTCTACCTAGCAGGCTGCTATTAACGATGAACTAAGTGGTCTTCAAATGGTTCATGAGAATTGACCTTATTACCTTCCAAAATCAAAAAAATTGCTAGCAAGTCTTTTTATTATTATTATTATTTAGTAAGCACAATCTAGATAGTTCAATCTACAGTATAAAGTACGTTTTGTCGCTAAGGGATCTATTCAAAATCAAAGCCATGGTTTTACCAAATCATATGCCCTCGTTGCTATATTTTTTTTGTTATGCGTTTATTACTTGCCATACTTGACGTCAACACCTTTCTTCATAGACGTACGTCTAGAGGAGGATCTCTACATGGTTTTTCCGGAAGGTACCCCTGCTCTCCTTGACACGTTTGTAAGCTTAAAAAATTTATTAATGGTCTTAGATTGGTATCACACCAATGATATAAGGAATTTTCGGACAAGATTGTTCACCTTGGCTTTAAAAAATGCACGAATGACAATTGTTTTTTTTTTTTTTTTTTCTGGGTAAACTATTTTTTTAGTCTCGTAACTAGACCCCTTTATCATTTTAGTCCCGTAAGTGAAAAATTTTCACAATGTAGTCCTCATCAATGCCTATGTGGCATCTGCGTGGCAGCCTGGCGAACACGTGTCGGCCAGCTCAGCGCCACGTGGCTGTCACGTGTCTGCCACATAGATTATTTTTATTTTTTAAATATAAAAAAATTACAATTATAAAAAAAAATAAAAATAAAATATAAAATATAAAAATAAAAATAAAATAAATAATAAATAAATAAAAAATAAATTATCCATATGTACGTCAAGTGAGCACTATGTGACTTTTATTTTTTAATTATATTTTTATTTTTAATATTAAAAATATAAATTATCCACATAGCGGCCACGTGGCGCTGATCTAACGAACATGTGGATAATTTTTATTTTTTCATTTTATTTTCTTATATTTTTAATTTTTTTAATATTTTATATATTTAATTAATTTTTATTAAAAAATAAATTTAAAAAAATATCCACGTGGCATACTCGTGTCAGCCACGTGGCGCTGATCTGGTCGACATGTGTCCATCAGTCTGCCACGCAGATGCCACCTAAGCATTGAGGACTAAATTGAGAAAAAATTTCACTTACAGGACTAGTTTAAGACAACCTCCAGTCATGAGACTAAAATAATAAATGGGTTAAGTTACGAAACTAAAAAACAGTTTTATGTGGATAATGTCTTGATAATAGAGAATAATCACTACACTATTCTTCACGTCAAGGCCTATCTTGACAAGGAATTCACAATTAAGATATTGGTTGTGCAAATTTCTTTCTTGACATTCAGATTGATTATACTCTTTTTGTTTTCTATGTCTCACAACATATCAATTATGACATATTGATTGATGCATGGTTGTATGAGACAATTCTTTACACTACACCTTTTGCTAATGAATAAAATGAGTAACAAGAAAATATTGTCTTTGATAAGCATACTTTATATTATTATATTGTTGGAAGGCTATTATAAGCCAGGGATGTGTGAGGCAATCATTTTTACTATACTTTTTGCCTTTAGATGTAATGAGCAACAAAAATATATTGTCTTTGATAGACCTACTTTATATTTTTGTGTTGTTGGAAGGCTATTATACTTTACTTTGACTCAACCCTATCTCTCATTTGTTGTCCAACAATTCTTTCAGTTTATATCATATTCAAGTGTCCACTATTGAAAGGTTGTTCAATATATGTTGTGCTATCATCATAGCATCAACCATCTTAAACTTCTTTTCTCTTCAAAGTTCGATATTTTGTACACAACTTTTGCAAATGCGGACTAGGGTTGTTGTTAAAATTCTTGTAAATATTTCGTTAATTTTGAGATTATCCTTGGTTCCTCCTTAATATCTGGAAAACAAACAAAAAACCTATTATATCTCGTTCTTCCGCGAAACTGAGTATTGTACCTTAGCTTCAACTGTCTCAAAGATTTTGTGGATCAGTTATCGATTGAGAAACTTTCAAATTTCTATTCTCCAATCTATATCTCTCCATGGTGACAATCAACTAACTATGAGATGGTGAAGAATTCGGACAATCACAAGCACATAAAACACATCAATATCAACTATCATTTTATCCATCATCACCATGCCACATGGGCCATTGATCGTCTTTATGTGACTTACTCTCAACAGCTTGCAAATATCTTTATATTACTAGTATTTATCACCGTCATTAGTTCTTTCTTTGAATATTTAATTTTATTTTTTAACCGGTTGAACTTTGGTATGACAATTGGGGCGGGTCCCACCCATGCCCGTTCTGGTTTTGATGTTAATAAGGTGGGTTCGAGTTCAAAATTTTATAGCAGGATGAATTTTGAGAGTGTAAACTCGGAGGATTAAAAACTCGTTCTGAACTCAGCCTCGTCCCGAACTCATTCAAATTAATAATTTTTGCAACGTTTAATTATGTTGTTTGTATGTGTCAATTTACTAATTTTTCAATTCAATATTACTTATCGCTATATCAATGTTGCTGTGATTAAAAATATATTACTGTTTTTTACTATTAATATTTAATATCTTAATTTTTAATCATATTTTATTTTATAACTTATAAATAAATAAATAAATTAATATATAAATATATTTTAAAAAATCAGAAGAATTTTTCGAATTGACCCCAAACCCTGAAGGGCTGAGTTCGTGATTCATTCTTTTTTCTTTATATAACGTGAGAATTCGTAGCCGCTGCTCGTGGAGTACGCTCTGGGTAAATTTCTTGTCGAACCTAATACCTTGCAAATTAAATCTGATAAGGCAAGTAACACTAGGCGAACCATATATAGCAGATGGACCTGAAGGGTCGACCCATGCTTTGCGAGACCCATCTTATTTCATCCTTACGCATGAGGATAGAAGTCACAGAGTATGGACCACAAAATAACGGACTATAAGGTTGTTGCTCAATAATTAATAACGAGTTTGTTGTGAACATAAATTCCATCTTCCATACTACTCTCAATTAGCTTCTTTGTATAAATTCTTCTCTATGTGCTGCTCTTTTTACTTCATTCTTTCACTTCACATATACATATAAATTTAAATAGTACAAAGAAAGATGCAATTAATCCATATTTTTTTGTTATCTTTTGATATTATTTAATGTAATATATTTATAAATAAAACATAAATATTGAATAATAATAAAAAAAAAAAAATTACCAAATGAAGAACATAAAAGGATCATATGCAAATTTACAAAAAGTAAATAATGCAGCATTTATATATAAATATATATACAGATTTTTATTATATACGATTATAACAAAAGAGTCCTCTAGAATGTAATATAATGCAATGCCCAAGACAAATTCCACTTGTCTCGAATAATCGACACACACACTATTTACATTAGAGATTAACAAAAAGTAATTAATATTAACAATAAGATAGCCAGCCATGGATAATGCATCACCTCAGCTTAATTGGCTACCTCCATAACTACCCTTCAATTTGGCTCTATAAAAAGAAAATGTCAGAAACAAGAATCTGCTTCTTCTCTGTGTCCGAAAGCCCAAACAAAAGCCTCCACATTTTCCATACAACCAACCAACCAACCAGACATGTTTGTGTCTGTCTCAAGACAACAGAGCCTTGGAGTAGCTTTCGTCATAGATTTCATCGATGTCGGCTGCCGGTACGTAAACTGCATTCCTCAAGGAACTGTGACTGCGGCCATAGAACATGTACACAAGTACTCCTATGCCAAGCCACACAGATACACGGGTCCAAGTTGCAGCGCTGTATGTTAAAACAAATGGTTAAGGGAGTGGATGAGATATTGGAATTGAACGAAATCCTCGATCATAATAATACTCACCCGAGATTAATTAGCAAGTAGGCATTGATCAGAATGCAGGCAATGGGCAGCAATGGGACAAAAGGGCAGGTGAAACCTGCAAATCGAGACAACATCTCCTTAAATGAAACGTGCCATTTTTGTAATAAGTAAGAGAAGCTACGTTAACAATCGAAGAACATACCTCCCGTGTGTCCAAATTTGTGCCTTGCATCATCTTGGTCGATCCAGGTCAGGATTGCGAGACCGGACAAAAGGAGAACTCCTCCAATTCCGCAAAGTGAAAGCCGAATATAGCTGTTAAGAAATTCGGTTTAGAAAGGGGTTGGGAAAATGAAGGTTAATTATTCCCTCAAAACATCCTCGTACAATAATTTCTACTAAATTGATTTACCATTTCAACAAAAATAGATCATGTACCTATAGAGGGTTAAGCTTGCTGCAGCTGAAGTTAGAACAAGCACGCCGATGCACGTAAATGCAATTGCCCAGCCAGCAATTTTCCGTCTATTCCCTTCGTCGGTGAAAACTGCAATAGGATTGACCAAATAAACAGCAACTATTGGGGATTACACATAAATAGAATCATTGTTCGCGAGCTTTAATCCGGAAATGAAGACTTCTGCTAGCATGAAACAACACGTACATATTTAAAAATAAAAATACTACTTATACGGGAAGATTGGTGTCGAGTGACAAATGAGGCGGCGAAAGGATAGGGCAAGCACAACATTCATGAAAGATATACTAATAATAAAAATTTTTGATACCAACAAAAATGAGAATAAGAAGCAGGGGATTATTGCCATCACACGAACTTACAATTCCATTGCAGCGATGCTTTCTCTAGGAGAGGGTACCCGAAAGTAGTTCTACTGCTCGCTAAAACAGGAACGATTCCATCAGAGGTAATGGCGTAGGCTTTTATGCTCTCCACATCAGAATCAGCAGGGTTGTTGCTGATGCTGCGGCGCATCGACACTGAATCTATGGCTTCCTGGAAAGATAATGGAAGTGGAACCTCATCGGGCGGAACATATCTCAGTATCAACACAGAAACTGCCACCATCAGAAACGCAAGGAGTGTGCCAACACTAACCTGCAAGTAAAATTCATCAGTGAAGAAGTACCAAGAGAATAGTCCAGAAAAAGCAAAAGCAGACAAGAACTCGACACCTTTGTATAGAATCTGAAATGCCCACAAAATATCATGCTACACGTGCAATTTCTCTATCTTAACAACGACTCTACTTCTTTATTAAAAGGGAAATCATATAGGATGCAACTAAAGTCGTCATTAAAAGTAGACATCCTCCAAAATCAACTAGCATTACAAGAAGCAGATGCTTTTCATTAGGCCAAAACTTTAGTACATGAGAATGCAAAATGATTCGGAACAAATTTTTAAAAAAACTTCAAAAGGCATAATACCACCATACCATCCCTGACAGCTGATCCACGTCCATGAGAAAAGACATGCTGGATGCAAGTAAACCAGTCACCATGGTACTCTTTATCGGAACTTGACTTTTTCTATTCACATCCGAGAAAAATGAAGGCAGCAATCCATCTCTAGCCATAGCCATTAGTATCCGTGGCTGAAGAGGATATAATGCCATATTTATTTATATGTTAGTCATGCACACTGCATCAAATCTTGTGATTTTGCGAGAAAAAAGGGTTACCTGTGGAAGAAGTGAACCCAGCAATGTTGAACACAGAGCAGTACATGCTCCAGTAGTTATAACATACCTGCATTGAAATCACCACAATGTTTAATACTGAAACTTACAAGGCCTAAGCAAGATAAAATAGTTTGGGTCCCTATCACCATAGAAAGCCCCAATAAATCGACAAAAAGGCAATGGACCGAATAGCAGCACTAACAATTTAGCACAATAATGCTGTGAATAAGCCAAGTAAGGCTTTTGACTGGTCTGATGCTATGCTGATCAAAACTATTCATCCATTGGAAAGATTACAGTATTCCAATGAGTTTTCTTAATTAAATAAAGTTTTACATCAACTGTTAGAAACATTTCGTAAAGAAAGTAATCGAAACCCTCAAGCAGATTCGAAGACTGACAAGATAACCTCTGCATTCAATCATTGCACAAGTGGAAGAATAATGGAGAAGAGTAGCAGGGGTTTTAAGGCGATTTCATAGTTAGTTAGATGAAAAAGTGTCAACACAACCATCCTGAAAACTCATCTTACAAAACAGTACATTTTTTTTTTCATTAAGGACTGCATAAACTTTATGATCAAGAGGCACCTTTTATCTATAGATATTCCTCTTCATCGTTAGAAGAAAAAAGATGGGGCTTCCCGGGTCACAATTATCATGTTTTAGTATTTTACATTCCTACAAATTTAATACAATTAATTTAATTAGTTCTTTGCTTTATTTCCTTTTTATCATATTTTCCGTTCCTCAATTGTCCTTCTGTGTCATTCCCATCTTCTTTTCGTCTTAATGAGATGGCAAAATCCCTTGACTTAATAATTTTTATATATTCCATCCGAATCCAATAGAATGTTACTAAATATAAAATCTCAATCTTTCATAGGTATCGAACTAGCACAGCCAGTGGGAAGTTAATATGTTATTCAAAATATAACTAGAATATTTACCGTACTGACCATCACTAAAAAGTGTGTTGATAACGAGTTTTGAAACTTGAAAGTAATTGATACTTCCAATCAACACCTTTGTGATTAGTTGTGGGATGTCCCACAGGTCATCCATACCAAATGATATTAACTTAGCCAAGGCTTATTTCCCAGATTATTGTGCAAAAAAACGTCAAGACCACATGATGACCACCTAGAGCTAACTATGGTCATGTTCAACCTTGTCCTAACTCAACACATATTACAAAAGTCGATCACTATTTCACGCTATAGATAGTCTCCAAGTATTATCGGCAACAGGGTAGTTTGGTGAGGGACAACCTTAACATTTCAAATGGGCTCACTTAGCATCAGTGGCAAATCCTATCCTTAGTTGTACAGTGTACAATCACATCATTCCAAATGGCTACAACAAAACCATTTGGACGTTTAGCCAACTAAGGGCCAAGAATCCATGGCCAAAAGGGGGTTCAGTGTCTCTCAACAGTTTCTTGAGTAACAACAATGCAAACATGCATTACAGTAAAACTGAATAGATGAGATAAAGGGTAAAACCGAAACACACTTACGCTGCCCATTCAATTCCATGAGAAGCGAAAGCAGAAGATATGGGAGTGTCTGGATCCATAGCATAATACGGCACCAACCCAACAATGACGGCCGAAACCAGCATATACAAAGAGCAGCATATGGTCAATGCCAAACCAATGCCCAAGGGCAGATCGCGTTGAGGATTTTTCACCTGCAGGTGTACAGTTGTTGTAGCTAAGTTGACGTATTATTATGTATTCAGAAAGCAGGATTAATTTAGAGAGTAAATACAACAACACCTCTTCAGCTGTACTCGCAACTGAATCAAAACCAATATATGCAAAGAAAACAGTCGAAGCTCCAGCAAGCATCCCATCAGCCCCAAAAGGAAAATATCTGAAAAGTTACGTATTTGTTAGCCTTATAAACAAATTCATGATGTATCGCGAAAAAAATAATAATGTAAATAACGAAAAATATGTTGAAACCATCAAATTAGAAAGAAAATTGAGCATTGAATCACCCTGAAGGTACATCATATCCCGGCCACCCAGTCTTGAAGCCCAAATATCCACCAGCAACAATGACGAAGATCATTGCGAATATATTTACTACAGTGACCACACCTTGAACGAAAGTACTCTGCATTAGTGCCAAAAGAATGCAAATTTTAGAGAAATAAATTTGCAAAACACGGATTGTCTTCCAGTAAACAGAAAGGATTTGAAAGATATCATCATACCTCCTTGATCCCCACACATAGAAGTGCAGTGACCACCATAACTAAGATGGCAGCACAAGGATCAATTACAATACCAACCCCCGGGATGGTCTGCCGAGCAAGAAATGAAGGGAGACTATTTGCCCCACCAAAAAGCATTGCCTGGTTGTAATAAAGCAAACAATACAGTCATTTCTCAAACAAACACCATAAGATCTAATTAAAAGGGAGTATAGAAAGAGAGAAAAAAAGTAAATAAAAAAGAAGGGTACCAGATTGGGAGATATGCCGCGGGCAACTGCTGCCCCTCCTATAGTGTATTCTAATATCAGTGCCCAACCAATCAACCAAGCAACACTGCATCAAACAAGATTTAAATAATCAATCAATCATCGACACCATTTCATGAGAATCTGATTAATGCTTGTACTTTGCACCGAAGTGATAAAGCAGAAGCTTGGAAGCGATAACTTTTTATACAGAAGGTGATCTCTCCAAGAAGATAGAAGAAAATGAAAATAAAGATTATCTTCGTAGTTCTCCATATGCACATTCCATTAATAAAGATGCAGGAAAACAAAACAAAAAGAAAAATTAAAAAAGAAAAACAGAGTCTTAGGCTCAGAGACCAACATTCACAAAATTTAAATTTCATCAAAGGGACTTTGTAACCATTGGTTTATAAAATAGCTGAAAATGAACTTACTTCTTCCGTAATCCCATTTAATTTTAAAAACAAGTGTCTTAGAAGGTAGCAAGATCAATATATAATCAGAAGTCCAATAAGATCGAAAAGGGAAGGTACCCTTCTCCAATGCATATGTAAGAATAATGATAGGCACTTCCGGCAGAAGGGCATCGACTGGCAAGCTCAGCATAACAGAAAGCAGAGAGTGCTGCTGCTATTCCAGCGATCAGAAATGAAAAGGTAAGGGCAGGCCCTGAATGCTCCCGTGCAACATTTCCAACAAGAATGTATACTCCAGCACCGATCGTCGAACCAACTCCTGTAAATTCAAAATAAAGTCAATATCTTATTCAAAAATAAATAAATAAATAAAGTCAATACACAAATCTTTAAGAAAACACAAACTAACACCAAATTCTGATCCAGAAATGTAAACATCATGAAATAAACAAACTTAAAATATCCTTCAACAAATCACAAAAATTTAATACCAGGTTAGGATATCGGTAAATGAATCAAAATCCCACAAACAAAAACGCCTTCAGATCCAAGAGCAGTCGATCACATAAAAATTATTCAATAATCCCAAATTATAATAATCATAATTTAAAGCTGGAGCTCAAAGACCAGAGAAGCTCTCTCACCTATGGCTATGAGATGAGGAACACTCAAAGCTTTGGCCAACTGAATATGACCACCGCCATTTCCGGACGAGGAAGCTGGCTTCGCATGAGCAGAATCAACCTGTTTCCGCCTCACAAAAGTCCTCAAACCCCCAACTGCACCGCTATTCTGCGCATCACAACGAACCCCCATGAAAGCTCTCGATTGGGCTTTCCAAACACTCAAATCCACCCAAATAACAACTACTTCCCTTCCTTTCCCCTCAAAATGATTCAGAATTCCGAATAATCCAAAAGAAAAAAAAAAAAAAACTAGAACAAGGGATGATATCCCGAAGATGATAAAAAAAAATAGAAATATCAAATAGAGGACCACACGGCAGTCCCTTTTGCACAATCCCAAAGGCCTTCGAACCAAAGTGCTGAAAAGGATTAAATGAAGGCTTTGGGGTTGCAGGTAGGGATTGCGATGGCCAAGATTGAACGAATTCTGCTATCCACTTGTGGCGCCCAATAGGATAACGTACGCTTGTTCGGTTGGGTTGGGTAAAAGATGCGTCGTTGAGAAGCAAAGCACCCTAAATTTCATCAATGGCTGCCAGTCCACCTGATTTGTTATCCACGGCACTTTTTACTGTACGGAACGGCGCTAATGCATAGACGTCAAATATGGTAACAGTGGAACAATTATACTAATACACTTGTATATTTATTTAATTATAATCACGATTATAATAATAATAATAATGATATTATTATTATTATTATTATTATTATTATTATTATTTTATGGGATGGATTTGTTGATTTAAATTTGAAATTTAAAATATTGAGTATTTTTATATCACATTTTTTAATTAAAATATTATTTAAATTAAAATTTGAAATTTGAATCTTACCTAAACAAACTCGTAATGGGATAGCAATTAAATACAGGTTTAGATAAGGATTGTGAATTTTCTTAAAATAGTCAATAATTGAGAAATAGAAATTAAAAATGTTTGATCTAATATTTTAAATAAATAATACTACTATGTTTTTAAGTAAAAAGGGATTCTAAATATAATATTTTTTTTAAAAAAAATGATAATAATGCACAAATAAAATAAGATAAAATAAAAAATGTATAGTAAATAGAACTATAATCTTTAAAATCTTAGTCCAAGAATATATTATAAATGTAAGGGTTTGTTTAGTTTTTGGGTTAAATATGAGATTTTTATTTAAATTTTAAATTAAATAATATATTTATTTGGTATTTTATATAAAAGTAATAATACTACATTTTTACTAAAATTATATAGATTAAATAATAAATACTTTTAATTTGAAAAAATAAAATAAAATAAAATAAACACACTTATATTCTATTGAATTAGGACATCAAAATGCATACAAAAATAAGTGTATTGTTGTTATTATTGTTATTATCGTTAAATGACGTATAAAATCTATTCAATTATAAAAAATGAATATATTTAAGTACATATGATATATACAGATTATCTCATCCACGTGAAAATTGACAAATATTGATGTGTCAATAATTTTATTTATAATCAAAATATTAAAATAATTTTCCGATCAAAATAAAATAATATGTATATTTTTTAAAAATAATAAATTTTGTGAGCGGTTATTATTTTGTCTTTAAAAATAAAACAACTCTCAGTGCCATTTATATTAAATTATTAAGTGATTTGATTCTCAAGTTGAATACTAACTTGTTAATTAAATTTGACAGATAGACATTTGTCCTTGTGATTTCTTTTTTTCTATATTTTTATTTTGATTTCTAATTATAGTAAATGCTGTGAGTATATTATTATAGGTATAAAATTAAAAAGGAATGTCAAGTGGACTGATACGATGGTTCCAGATCCATTCATTAATGTGGTTGAGATTTCAAAGCTTCATTCTTTTTGATTAATAGTTTTTTTTAAATAAAATACCGACTTACTCAATCATGCAAATGTGTGTTTATTTGACAGGATATATATTTTAATAAAAGTGAATAATAATTATTAATTTTTTTTTACAATAAAAAATAATACAAAAGTGGAATGATTTTTTGCTTAAAAAAATGAGAATATTGTTTACAATCTAAAAAAAAAAGTGAGCATAAATTTAAACTATGAGGGAGTACTAGTTTTGTCTTAATTCTTTTAGAAATTTTATGTGAACCTAACTCATTTTTTAATAAAAAAATGAAAATATATCAAATTAATATATAAATTAAAATGAAAATGAAAATGAAAAAAAATAATAAAACACCAAAGAAACATATGAAATAACTTTTTGTGTGTGGCATGATAAATTGTGTAAAAAATATAAAATATATATTATTTTAAATTGATTTTTTGATTTTTTTTTTAATAATTTTTTATAAGGAGTATTTGAAGTTTTTTCTTTTTTTTTTTTTACTTTTTTCTTTTTTTTTTTTTACTTTTTTTACTTGGTATAAAATATTTTTAATTTTAATCAGTATTATTTTTTAGAATCGCAATTGAAAAATGATATTGAAAAAATAGAACAATAATATAGTGTATTTTTTTTGGAAGATTTTTTTATGTGTACTGTGCTAGCTTCGTCAAAGCTGCAAAATAAAGTATCAATTCCTGCGCCACAGAGAATACAAAATGAAGTAATGCTGGTGAGTAGGGTCGTCTCCATAGGAAACAGTAATAATTTAAACACTCGGTTGAATAGAATTATACTAATATATATGTATATATCTAATGGAGGGGTTTTTGATTTATCACACTAATTTAAGGAGAAAATAAATTTGCTCAACTAAATAAAATAAAATGCAAGATTAGCAGTTTACCAAATATAATTAAACACTAGCATGTGCATGAATTTTTCATTCGGGATATGAAATTTGATCATCGACTAAAAGTCAAATTCATCGACTAATTGGATAAATTGGTTATAGTTGATCTACACGCGTTCACAACCAACCTTTCCTTACTTTTTCAATAGCTAAGGTACGACCGTTAGTTATTTCTCTAATCGGGAAAGAATCCTAAGTACGACCATAGTTTTCTAACTCGACAGCAGTAAAAACTAGAAAGGCCCAATTCAATTTAACAAGCTCCTACGAGGATTTGTTTAAAATTGATTTTAATTCTTCCCTAGAGTGTTCTTCTCTAGGTTGCTACGCCAATCGGAAAATTACACAATTACGTATGTCAATCCCCAATATAGCTATGAAATCCTAAATTGATACATGCTCAATAATCAATTCAAGATTTCAAAACTCATCAATTAGAAGAATTAAAAATACCCAACATCGACGAACACCAATTTAATCGAAACCAAATCTCACAATTTCAATCCCGAAAATCAATTCATACTTACACTAGAAATGAAACTACTCGCAATCCATAGCAATTAAAAACACAAAATAAATCAAAGAGTTCATCATGCCTTCAAGTTTAAAAGAAATAGACAACAAACCAATTCTAGAAATTGAAGAAAAAGGTGCCCGGAAGTTATTCTCCGTTGCTCTCGAAAGTTCCCGTTCCGTAGTATTCTTCCTTCCTTCTCTTCTCCTTCAGAAAATGGGTTGTAGGTGAGATCGTGGTAGAGAACGTGGTAGTCCCCTCTCTTCTCCTCTTCAATTCAAAATCGTGTCTCTTCAAGTCCACTTAATATCCCTTTGCACTTAAAACCATCAATTGTAAAATTGTTAATTAACCCCGGAGGACCTTTTTGCAATTTTCATTTTTTTCTGCTTCGTGATCACGTTTAAGGACTTCCTGCGTTCTGCTTTTCTTTCCAATATGCCCAAAATTTGTCAACTCCTCAATGTCTAGTAGAAAGTTCAAAAACACATCATTAGGAGCATATATACAAAATTCGCATCCAAAAACCGTCTAAAATATAGCAAAATATTTGTCTAATATCGCATATATTATACTGTTTATTAATTTTTTTAAAAATATATTAAATCAAATAATTATTTGTTATTTTTTATATTCTATTAAAAAATTTATATTTAAAATATTATATCAACATCTATTTATTTTATATTATAAAACTATTTCAATTTTAAAAATTTATAATTCAAATCTCAAACTGAAAATACAAATCCAAAACAAAGACAATTACCCAATTTATGTCGAGATTAACTTAAAAACCACCTTGTGTTTTAGATTATGGGTTTGAATTTTTTAAAAATAAAAAAGTTATGTACATATTTATATGATATGATATAAATATATATGAATGTGAGTTTTTAAATATAAAATTAATTTTTAATATATAATATAAAAATATATAATAAATATTTAATTTAATATTTTTTTACATATAAAAATCCATATTGTGTATTTTATTTTAGATCAAACTAATAAAATGATTTTTTTGATGGAAAAAAATTTAATAAATAAATACATCTATATAATTTTGATAATGACACGTGGAACCCATGGAGTGGTCATTCCTGAGGCAAGCAGGATTATTTTAAATTTTTTAGGTATCCATATTAAGAACTGGAAGCTGTCAGAAAGAGCAATTAATACTCAATAATTGAGCACACCGTTCCTCTACTGACATAAATTATTCAATAGTTTCCAATAATTTGATTAAATAAAATTTGTTATATAAATATAATAATATATTTGGTACGTTTCTTTAACCGAGTTTCCCCAAATTTTATTATTTAGACTATGTATTTTTTGAAAAAAATATATTTTTTATTTTCATAAAATATCCCATCAACCATTATTTTTATACCAAATTCAAACCAATTTTTTTCCAAACTCATCAAAAAAATCACACCTATAATATTTGGTAAGTGTAATAGATATATGAATATATGTGTATGGCTGCATGTATAATACTCCCTCTATCCCATGTAATATGGGTGTATTACTGTAGACACGAGAATTTAGGTAGAGTATAATTAGTAAATAATTAAGAAGTGTATTATTAAAAATAATTATTATTTATTAAAAATAATTATAAATTAAGATTAAGATAAATAAATAGTTTAATTAAAATTAAGAAAATTATAAATTTAAAATGCGATTAAAGTGTATAATTATATTTCCAAAAATAGAAATGACAAATTATGTGGGACGGACGAAAATAGAAAATAAAGAAAAATTATGTGGGACGAAGGAAGTATTAGATAAGTATAATATTATATTTATATGATATATCAATATAAATGCATAAATATTTATGAGTGAGTGGAAAATGAGACTTTAGACTAATGAGAAGTGAATTGATCTCACTCACTACAGCAACGAATATATATATATATATATACAAAGGAGGGGGTGTGAGTGAGTGGATATAAAAGCATCCACCAAATCGTCGAATAGTGCCTATATCGATACAATGTATTACAATATTCCCCCTTGGATGCCTTTATACAAAGAATGTGTCTCGTTAAAATCTTATTATGAAAAAACTTTGTGGAAAAAATCATAGTAAAGGAAAAAAAGTACATCATTCTTGTATTAACGCGTTTTCCCTATTTTGGACTTTATGTGATATGTTTTAGCCGACGCATTCCAATTTCTTGCACCAATTTGTTGAATGTTGCAATCGGTAGCGCCTTTGTGAATAAGGTTGCAAAATTTTCAGATGATCGAATTTGTTGCACATTAATTTCA